AGAACCAAGAGGAGAGTGAAGGAAGAAGGGCATGGCATGGGAGAGATTACCTAGGATATGCTGAATGGCATTCTCCCTCAAACTGGCCATGCCATCTTTTGCTTTCCACCTCCTACGGTCCAAATTACTAGCCACTTTCACACCTGCTCCTCATTTCTAAAGCTAAACCAAAATCACCTAAAAGTTGTTGTACCCCATACATATTTCAGTCACTGTATGGACCACATTGGCATATAATCAATCATCTGTCTGTCTCTCTATCCTTAATTGGACTGAGGTCTTAGGAAGTCTTATTCCTCTTTGATTGTTCAGTGTCCAACACATACTAGTACAACTAATGATTGTTGAACAAAGAAAGAACGGAAGGGAAGGGAAAGGAGGAAGAGGGGAGAAAAGAAACAAACCACCTACTTTATAGTCTCTGGCATTTTCATTCCATTAAATTCAACACAGACTAGTTGGAATCTTCTGTTTTAAACTCTTGAAAGACTAGGTACCATACATATTCCTGATTTTAAGCACTCTTTCCACTTCCCACCTCCAATTCTTAACACAGCCTCTCCTATATCTTGTTAGGCCCTGCTGTTTATACACTTCTAGTCTTTGGATAGCCTTCCAGATTTTCTATTTCATGCCAGAATATGTCCTTTTCCTTAGGCTTCTTGGGCAGTTATGTACCCTAGTACCCTGACTCTCCATGTGAGTTCTGCCTATTTAAAAAAATACTGTATGCTTGGAATTTATCTCTTTATCTTATTGGTTTCATAGAAAATCAGGATTCTGCAAAGAATTTTAAAGTTAACCAATTTGAGTCATTTATACTTAAAAAGGAGCTTCTTTACAAGAAGGAATGCCTTTAGTTATGTTCCTAATTCTTAGTGTGTATAGTTGTGTCAGCTTTAAGTAGAACCAGATCACCGAAGTCATAGTGGGTTAATCTTCATGAGGTTGATAAGATCAACCTTTAGCAAATCTAGGCTAGAGCTTTAAGAAATTCTGTCTTCTACAACCAACATAATCTCAAGGTTACAAGTCAGCAATTGTTATAAGCATGTAAAGCAGACATTAAAACATTAGAGAAAAGCTCTTTACCCTTCTTAATAAATAGATAATCACATGAACTCAATATAGATGTATATTAGATGTGTATGGTAACTAGTAAGTATATAATTGCCAATATTCTTTCAAGGTATTCCACATAATTCAAACAAAGCCAGATGGCTGGTCTAGTGTTTGCTTTTTTTTTTTTTTTTTTTTAAAGACACAGTCTAGCTCTGTTGCATAGCCTGGAGTACAGTGGCATGATCTCAGCTCACTGCAGCTTCTGCCTCCTGGGCTCAAGCAATTCTGCCTCATCCTCCTAAGTACATGGGATTACAGGCATATGCCACTGTGCCTAGCTAATTTTTGTAATTTTAGTAGAGACAGAGTTTTACCATGTTGGCCAGGCTGGTCTCCAACTCCTGGCCTCAAGTGATCCGCCCACCTCAGCCTCCCAAAGTGCTGGGATTACAGGTGTGAGCCACCGCACCCGACCTAGTGTTTGCATTTTCAAAAGCACTATAAAAGTTTAAGGCATCTGGTATCAATTTTTTTAATTGAAAAAATCCATAAGTATATAACACACATATGTATAAAGAAAAAACATCCTGTATTTTACCACCGAGTTTAGGAAATAGCCAATTTCATTTTAATCAAAACTGAATTAAAGATATTTGAGATTTATAGCTTTTAAGCCGAATTAAAGATATTTGAGATTTAGAGTTTTTAATTTGATACCACATTTTCCAAACTTTTCTGTTTCTCTTTTTAACTGGGTATTAATCCATTCTTTCCCTGCTTATATGTGATTTACAGTTTATTCAGTGTTTTCAGATGCATTATTTCACTTAATGTCCACAGAAACTCCATGAAGTCAGAGTTATAGTCCCCATTTTGCAAATGAGGAGGCCTGAAGCTCAGAACACTTGAATTAATCATGCAGCTATTAAATCTCAGAGCCAGGACTGGAACCTAGGTTTTCTCATTAACTTTTTTACTATGAGAAAAGTTGCAGGGAAGAAAACAATATCATAAATTTCCTGGTAAATTACTAAGGATTCATAATTATATAATGCTTTACCTTTCCAAAATGGTGGTTATAAGGGATGTTTTTGTTTAATCACTTCTAGAGACAAAAATATGGAGCTTTTTTAATGTTTAAAAAATAGATCATTTTAATAATCTCCTAGACATAATTTCAGGCACCATGAACCTGTGAGAGACACACTTTTAATTAAAAGGGCACGTGGTCCTTTCCAGAGTTGCCTAAAGCATATCACAAGCAGGCTGTCAGATAGGTCCAGTGTAGGCACTGTAGGGATTGCAGTAATCCAGTTCCTAGATTGGCTGCATTCTTGAAAATGCTCATGGTAAGTAAATCAGTGGTTGGGGAATTTAAGACCTTATTGGGGAAAACAGGAAGGCTTGAATTGGTGTGGGTGTGAGGAGGTCAACCTGGTTAGGAGTTGGGCTTGGGTTTTGTTGTTACTTTCATTACCTTCACTGTACTACAGGCCTCAAGTCCTTCTAGGAGAGGGCTGCCAAGACTTTTTGCTGAGGGTGGAGATGGGTGTCAGTGGGTGTTTCTCAGCATCTTTGTTTCTCTCTCAGCTTTCAGCCTTCTCTGCCAATGTACGCCACAAAGGGCATCTCTCTCCAAGCTCTTGCCCCCTCCCCTGGTGGCAGCCCAGTATCTCGTTTCTCAGTGCTGGGCTGGTTGGCAGGGCAGGAGGTTCCCTGTTGTTCTGGCCTTAGGCCTAGGCTGGACCTGTGCACCTGGGCTTTGGACACGGGGCTTTCTCAGTGTTCCTGCCCTCTGTCCATGTGGTAGCCAAACTCTGCCTTCTCTCTGTGTTCAGTCTTGGGCCAGTGTCTCCTGTCTCTGCTCTGATGGTAGGAAGCCTCTCTCTGGCCTTCCACCTGCCTCCATCTTTTATTTGAGGCCTGTGGAAAATGTTTGCTAATGAGTGTGAACTTTCCTTGGGTCTGGAGTCCCAGGCAATCCCAGACTGACATCTAGTGCACCTTTGGCCTTTGCCTGTATATTAAGATAGAGCTGGTAGAACTTCGCAGAACATACACAAGTTTCAATAGCTGAATAAAAAAAAAAAAAGATTATAGCTGGTACATTCTTAACAGCTGGTGTGATGGTAGCATATTCTTTCTGGGCCCTGCTATAGCTGAGACTGTTCTTATATCTCTTTTCTCCTCGGAGGGGTTGGATCCTCTTTTGAAATCAGATTACTTGGTTACCTTTTGACTTCAGCTCTCTGCTGGACTCAAGAAAAGTTATGATTTTGTGGCTTATCTATTTGGCTTTTTCCTGTTGCTATGATGGGAACAATGTTTTTTGTAGCTTTCTATATTCTAAGCATAAGAGTAACTCTCCCAAGGACAGGCTTAAAAAAGACTTTTCCCCCTCCTCTGAACTCCCAAGATCTTTATTAGTACCAATTAGGTACTTGTACTTTTTAACCTATATTTGTTTATCTTATTTTCCCTATTAAATGTAAGCTATGTGAGGTCTCATCTTAATAGTCTTTCTATCCTCAACAGTGCCTAAAACAGTCTTACATGTAGCACAAGCACTCAGTCAAATGTGTTGGTGGGTAAAAGGGCTTTCCTGAAAAGTGGATAGGAAAGTTCTGAAGAGGTGAATGATTGGGAAAATAAGGTTATTGTTTTAAGCAGAGGGAGGTAACGACAGATGTGGCTTTCTCTTTTTGAATCTTTCTCTACATGTGAATATTTGGTATGATGTCCATGTCCAGAAATAGAAATCTTAATTGAATCTGTAAAACATCAGCCAATGTCAAAGGAGACACTACAGGGCACTGCTTTTCGGAATGCAGCTGAACCTACTGAAAACATGTCTCCAGACAAAGTTTTTACTTGAGCCTAATATATTCTTGTGAAGCAAATTCTGCTCTTCCTGTAAATTTCATTATATTAGAGAAATGCTTCCCAAAGGAAAATTCTTAGCAAGCAGATGTGAAAACTTTTGATGAGTAACGACTAAGGTAGTTAGGTGTGTGGGTGATGCACATAAAATATTACAGCAGTTTTCCAGCTCTAGGATTTTGTGTATGTCATGAGCTGCTGTGTCCTTCCAACCCATGAGAATTTTCCTCATGCCTGAGGATTCACTTAAGTTCGCACTTTCAGATCTAGAGATATCCTCCGTTTCCTCTTGGCTGGGTCAGTTGTCTGTCTTTGGCTACATGATCACACATCACTGGCTACCATTTTTAGATTAGAATATGTGACCTTCCTAATGCAAAAAAAATCCTATAGTCCTCTAGCTTATCAATTCATTAAGTTAAACTTTATATACCAATTTGCTTAAATGGAGGATTCCCCTTATTAATCTGCAGCATCTATATCATTCCTAAGTTACTACACCAACAAAGATGAAAGTTGATCTCCCTCCCACCCAGCTTCTTCCCCCAGTTTTGTGAAGAAGTTCCATCAGAAGCTTTTTCCGTGGAGGTTTTCAGCTTCCTCATTTCTAGGCAAAAAGTTATTATCTTTCTCCTGATGCTGACCACCTTATGATGATATCTGATTATTAGTTTTGCCACTGCCCTGTTTAGTCACTTGTTTCTAAGAAAATGAACTGAGGGTCTTGGAGTAGATAAGGACAGGAGTGTTTTGTTACCCACACTAAATTACAGATGTTGGAAAACAAAGCCGAAAACTCTTTTGTATTTGTGTCTATACTGATGTCTGAATGCTCAACCCATTATTGCTTTTTTTTTCAGGCAGTGTGGGGGATAGAGATGGGGTCTTACTGTTGTCCAGACTGGTCTTGAACTCCTGGGCTCAAGTGATCTCCCACCTCAGCCTTCCAAAGTGGTGGGATGACAGGCATGAGCCACCACACCCCTATTATTGCCTTCTTTAAAAATATTTTTTTGTGGGCATAGATGCTAATTAACCCATCTGGTTGTGTGTTTTAGTACAGAAGTGGTCAGAAGGATCAACACGACCGAAGAAAGTAGAATGTTTAAAAGAACCGGAAAAAACATCTGTAGAATCTAAAGTACCTACACGGATGGAAAAATCTACAGACACAGAGGAGGACAATGTAACCGGAACAGGATATAATGACAAAACCACCCAGTTTCCATCATCAACTTCTGCTGAGCTAGGTGCTGAGCAAACTGAAGCAGCTCATGATTCTTCTCCCAAAGCAGCTACCCCTAAGACTACCAGCCCACCCACCTCACCGCCTCCAACAGCTGTCTCACCAGAGTTTGCCTATGTCCCAGCTGACCCAGCTCAGTTTGCTGCTCAGATGTTAGGTAAAGTTTCATCTATTCATTCTGATCAATCTGATGTTTTAATGGTGGATGTGGCAACCAG